GCTGGGTGTGTACAGGCTAGCCGACGGCCCCTCCGTTCAAAACAAACAATAGTGATGTAGCCATGTGGAGGGTGCAGGAGAAAATGTTACCAGCTCAATACCCCAGGTACACCCTGAGGGTATGTACAAGCCTTCATTTTGAAGCTTTCTTTTTTCTTCAACCTGACAAAGAAGACGGCGGCACTGGGGTGTAGAGGTTAGCACCGTCGCCTCACAGCAAGAAGGTTCCGCGTTTGAGTCCCGGGACCGGGACCTTTCTGTGTGGAGTTTGCATGTTCTCCCTGTGTCTGGGTGGGTTCTCTCCGGGTTCTCCAGCTTCCTCCCACAGTCCAAAAACCTGCAAGTTAGGTTGATTGGACATTCCAAATTCCCCTTAGGTGTGCGTGGTTGTGTGTCTCTGTGTGGCCCTGCGATGGACTGGGGACCTTCCAGGCTGTATTCCGCCTCTTGTCCATTGAATGCTCGGTTAGGCTCTAGTTCCCCCCACGACTCCCATTAGGGAATAAGCGGAAAACGATAATGGATGGATGGATGGATGACAAAGAAGATACCCAGAATTTGACCAGAATTTCCCTGGGGTGCATCTCAGGCTCCAAGGGCTTCAGTTAGCAAGTTCAAATGAAAGGTTCATGACAGGGCAGTCGTAAAAACACGAGGCTTTGTTTGGAAGAGTTGCAGGGAACAGCGATGGACCCCCAACCTCTCGCCCATCGTCAGCTGAGAAATGATCCTGCCCCCATGTGACCCCACTGGGAAATAAGCGGTATGGATAACGGATGGCTGCATGGATGGATGGATAGGTTCCAGGGGAAAAAGAATGATCGCTATAGTAAATGTATGGATTCATGCGTCCCCTGCACAAGAATGAGTCCGGGTGTTTGACACATGACAGAGCCATTATTTACTTACCTTGGGCTAAAGTAGATCCCAAAAATTGACGGCCATGTGCTAAATTACTTGTTAGAGAGTGACACCTTGAAGGCTTTAAGCAAGTTGATTAGAAGTCGGTGATTCATTCTGTGTCGGACTAATGCGACTTTCATAAGTGGAAGGAATGGAGGGTCAAATCTGAAAGGAAGGAATGTGAAAAGGCTGTTTTTGACATGTTTATTTCAAAGATTGGCTTGTGTGTCTGGTGTGTAGTCATCATAAACCCTTTTCCAGGACGATTAATGGATAGACGCCCTTATCAGGCTGCTGTGTTGATCCAGTGACTTCAGTCTTGACAAAGATTTATGGGCTCTGAAGACAATATCATGCTAACTTTTGTCCTTCGAAAGGAATTTCCAGCATGACACGCAACTGAATCTCCCCGAACTCCAACAAAGCCATGACTCAGCAACCTCAAAGATGTGTTTCAGAAACTTCCACAGCACAGGCTTTCTTCTTTTTTTTTTAATTTTGCTCTCCTTCCACGGCCTCTGGAGGCCTCTGCTGTGTCTGCTCCCATGTTTTACAGAGCTGTTAACAGCACTCCTGCAGGCTCGCTGAGGACCGTGTCTGAGGCAATGCAGGCCTATAACTGTCTGAAAAGCAACGGCCAGCGAGGGGGGGATGATTCACGCCGACAGCCGGGCTCATAACAGCCGGTACGCGGAGGGGACATCGCCGAGAGGGGCCGCGGTCGTTAAAAAGCCGGGGACACAGATTAGTGAGAGGCTTATAACCGCAAATCACGTTTTACGCAGAAAACTACACATGGATGCACGGCAAACTCGTTTTTCTTCCTCACAATTTGCAGAGTTTCTGCAAGACACCTGAATAAACTTTGCTCAAGGTTTAGCAATAATGGTTCCGTGCGGTACTAATATGCAATCCCATAGCTCAATCATTTCAAAGCCATTATACTGGAACTGATTTCATAAATGTGCTCTTATCCAGCCTGGGAAGTCAAACCAGCAGGTCTTTATTTAAAGACAAACAGCTTCTTCCTAAGCCGGAGAAACCTGGTTCTGCTTCCATTTCTTTCTTTTTTTCTTCCCCCTGTCTCTTTTTCTTTTCTTTTTGCACCTTATTTGGTGCAGCTGAATCAAACGCTGGACTGTTTACCCACCCGGATTTTTTGGTTCCCATCAGGGGCGGAGAGCCCACCAGTTCAATCTGATCCGCCTGAAACAACAGCACCCCGGCCAACTGATTTCATGCCACTTCCACGTGAATCCCAGAGGGAACGGTTTCAGGCTCGGGAATCAAATTTAAGAAATGCTTTTGTCTCCTAATACCCAAATGATAAATCCTCCCCGATACGGTTTGGCTTGTGCAGTGAACAAAGGCAAATGCGAGATAATGCATTTGCACAACTGTATGATGGCCGTAACCTTTCTCTAAGACACGGCAGATGCATTCTAACCTACGAGGAAATCCATAATTTCTCGACATCGGAAGATTAATAACGTTTCGTCCTGTGACCCACTGACCCGAGAAGCCGCGCGGCTGATTACAAATAGCCTGCCGAAATGCTGTTGTCAGTCATCCATGTTGACACAACACTGAGCCGGTGAAACATCTGTAACAAACCGGGCGAGAGGGGTGAAGGGTCGAAGACGTAAATCCATGCCAGAGAGCAAATGTAATACCCACAGAAATGCGGAGTGATGCCGAGGGAACCTGAGCGAAAGAGCATCGGGGGACTTTCTGGATTTGAGGAAGTGTGTAATGGATGCAGACTAATAAAACAGTTTGTAAGACTTCGCCGCTTTCCTTCTCTCACCTTCAGCGGGCGTCGCGGAATGAGGAAGGCGTGTGTTCTTTTTTTTATGCGCAGAGACGCTAACATGACATCATGGGTCTGAGATTTAGTCCTGCGGTTTGTGGCCTCCAGTAAATCCTTCCTGTTGAAGTTGCTCTGCAGCTCTCCAGGGGTGAGAGTATCCAAACAGAGTGAGTGATTATTCGATGTGCGGCTATTCAGGTTCCTGTCTGTGATTTGTATAAATAGCCATCCAGACCCAAATAATTCACTACCCACTCAAAGGCACAGCTGCCTCTGAGAGGGCTTCCATTGGTGGACGAAGGTCTACTGACATCTAGTGGCCAGAAACTGTACGTTTTTTTTTTGTTTGACAACCAATGAGGAGGACACAGAGATAGTGTTGTATGGCAAAAAAAAACGCCCCCTAAAGGACTCTTTAATGTACAGTTACATAATTCCACACTATATATTGCAATTAGTATGTGTATAAACTTCCCAACCATCCCTTAAAAGCTGAGCCTTTAGATGCCTCTGACTTCTTGGGCCATGTGTTTTGCGCCAGCAGGTTTGTTGAATAATTAATCCACAACTAAAACCTGTCTACACAATCATATGCTTCTCTCCTCAGTAAAGTAAACTCTGGCAGAACACCAGTATTTGAAGCGTGTTTGTTCTAAATAGATTTTCGTCAGTATTGTCGTTTGTTTTTGTGACGAAAAGGAAAGGTTTCCTAGATCCTGTCTGATCCGTCCACACAGACACCGAGTGAACGCCTTCTTTTCTCAACACAAATCATGTGTGGTGAGGATGTGCGCACCTCTTGCAACTATTTGTACACGCAGCTTTTTGTGGCAATGTGGAAGCAAGGTGGAAACGGCAAGAGGGGGTGAACAAAAAAAGCCTTATGACACATCGTAACGCAGGAAAGACTATTTCAGGAAGCTCGCTCAGTATGGTTGTGATTGTCTAACCGGCTTCCACAGAGGTGCTTAAGAAAACAGCAAACACTCTATGATCCATTTGTACATCTCTGTCTCCCTCGTGTTTCCCTCCACACAGACTGTTTACTGTACAGGCATCCACTGCAGATAATACAGGAGTTGTTCCTCCTCTGCCTAAGTCCTGATGTGATCTGTTAGCTGGTGCACATTTGGCTGCCGTTGTATCATTTGACTATTTCTTTATCTTTTTCTTTTACCCCTGTTTTAAACTTTTATCGAGCATATTTTTTTCCTATTACATAGCCAGGATCACAGTTTCACTATTGTGTGTCTTACTCCCTGATTCTGTAAAATCCGTGCTTGCATAGCTGTGGTGAAAATGTTTGCATATGCATACAGTTTCCAAATGACAGAGAATTATAAAAGAGAACCATATGTACACGCAGCTTCATAAATCTGGCAATAAAACATGAGGACATTTCTGCTTTTGTGCACGCTGTTGTAGTCATGAATCTTCTGCGTTTTATGCATCCAGCCCCAGGTGTGACTGAAAAGAAAAATGATGACCGATTTGGCTTGTCGTGGACCTTCTTTGTTGCCAGAAGTGGAGGACTGGAGGAATGGGGAAAGATTGATGGGGAAAAGTCAACATTTTCAACTTTTTTTTTTCATGTGCAAAAACACAAAATCTGGATGGAGCCCAATTCCCAACTCACTGTCTGAGCTCACACTCTGGGCCAGAATTCATAACACGGTGACCCTGAAACTTTGCAGCTAAACTTAATTCAGTCATCAGTCTGTGTGCTTCCTGCGGCCAAAATCCCACACCTGTTAGTCTGTAGGGTTATAATTCAGAAAACTGTCTCACCGGTCGAGAGCTGACACCCACTCCTGGTTCAGATTTGTCAAAGGCCTTGATTTATAATAAGGATTAAGCATGGTTTTCGCTGTTGTTTAATCTTTTGTTGCCCACTTTTGCTTATTTCCTGTGGAAGTTTTAATAACGTTTCATCCCTTTGTAGCTATTCTTTGTATATATTAACTAAAACTTGTTCTCTCACATTTGCCATTTTGCATGACGTCATAGACCTCTGTCTCAATCTGCAGTCACTTTGATTATTTTTGGTCGCTGTGTCCCTTTTTGAATGCGTACTATTTACTATTTTATTATGAAATAGTGCACAAAATGTTTAAGTCGACGCAAGGAGGCAGACATTGTTATCTGACACCACTGACTCTACCCCAGCTGGATATATTTCTTTAAAAAAACTTTTTTTTAAATCTCATACGAATTATAAATGAAGACACTAGCTTAGCACTAATGCTACCGGCGTCGCTCTCCAAGGTAACGTAAAGGAGGAGGTACGCTGCGCTGCACTTCCGGGTCTGACGGCCCGGAGGAGAGACGTTACGTCGCGGTGCGCGCAGCATCCCCCCACACAAAGAAGACGGCAACAATGGCCGATATATCACTGTATCTCACAAACGTTAACGTGTCAATAGGACGGAACATGGACGCGGGGCAGGTCGGTTCAACAGCTTCTTTATTTCCTAATCCAAAAAATAAGGCCGGGCTAGTCGTATTGTTATGGTCAAAGATGCCTCTCCGTGGTCGTGGCTCGCTTCCATTTGACGGCTTGTCAACGTCGGGCTGCTTGGACTCGATATCACACTTCTCTTGTGAAGAGTCTTATCGTTTTCAACAAGGCCGTCCAAGCCCCGCGGGCCCCGAGGCGTTTATAAACTGCTCAGTGAACTAACCCAGCCATGTCTCTGTGTGTTTATGATGCTCTCTCCCCACCACAAACACACACACACGCAGAGTCAAAGCCCAAACCAGGCGAGGGACTTTGAGAGTGTGGAGCTGGGAGAGCTGGACAAGGGAGATGAGCCTGGGCGGAGGCGACAGCAGCAGAGGGAGAAGGCCCCCCGCCGGATCATCCATTTCTCCAGCGGGGAGACCATGGAGGAGTACAGCACCGACGAGGAGGAGGGAGAGGAGAAGGAGCCGGAGAGGAAAGACCTGCTGTCCTCCCCGGTCGATGCGGTGAGGGTGAGGACCGGTGGGGTGGGACTGGAGGGTTGGGGGATGACCACGGAGACCCTTTTCACTGGACATTGTGTCATAGTAGCTGTTTTACCTGCGTTGTGTTGCAGTCGAAGATGACCTGGGGGCCCTATTTCTGGTTCCACATGTGGAGAGCGGCGACGTCCACCATCTCAGGTGTGTACTCTGTAATAACGCCAAATGAGTGTGTATTGAAATACGCACGGACCGACTTCTGGTGGTGAACTTATGCCCACAAGGACAAAAACCCACAACGTGCTTCTGGTAAACTTTTGTTTGCACCCGCTGAATAATGTTTGGCGTCTTGTTTATATCCACAACGACTGTCCTACAGGTTATTATTATTCCCAATCCACCTTTTCCTCCACTGAACCAGTTTGTTTGCATTATTTCTGCCGATTTTAACAAAGCAGAGCTGATTTTATTCCCATAAATTCAGTCTTTATAGACCTATAGCATTTTTTTATATATATCAGGACATCTTTTAAAAGCCAATTGGGACTTGAATGCGGTAAAGGAAAGAAAAATGGAGGAAAGAAAGCTTTCAGGTCCCTTACTGACTAAAATCATTACTTTATCCCCCTTAAAAGTCCTGCAGTTTACCCCTAAAATTCCTAAAAAGGTACACATGCTTGATAGGTGAAGCTATGATTAAGTTCTATATTGGGATAATATGAGCATCTGATATACATTTCTTTCAAGTTTCTTTCTTTTTCTTTATGGATGTAAGACTGGAGTACATGAACTGGAACCTTGCCAGCGTAATGGAACTATTTTTGTTGGTGTTTTACCTGTTCTGAGGATAGAGTGAGGCTTCATAGGAGACTTTGACAGAAATTTTTACAGTATCTACAGTTATTACAGTTCAAATCTCAACAACTTCCGCTTTTTAGTGGCGTCTTTAATACGCAGTGGTGAAATATGCAGCGCTCAGCCAGCCAGACGTCCGCAGCCAAGTTATACTCTGGCTAAAAGATTCTTCTCCTTTTCTTCCCTTTAGCATGTGACTATCTTGGGGAGAGAATGGCCTCCCTCTTTGGAATCACATCAGCCAAGTATCAATACGCCATCGACGAATACTACAGGATAAAGAAAGAGGTAAGGAGCATTTTGGTGTTCCTTTGTGTTTACATTACCGGAACAACTCAATTGGTCAATTTGTGTTCTCTTCTTAGAAGGAGGATGAGCAGGAGGAGAGCCGCCTTTCAGAAGAAGCAGAGCGATCCTTCGACCAGCTACAATCTCAGGAAGAGGAGGACGAGCCGATCACGGGGACAGAGCGGCGGGAGGCGGCGGCCGTCGGCCAAAACGCGGCCTATCAGGTGGAGAACGAGAGCCAGGCTCCCAACACCATCACCGTCCCTGTCATCGTCACGGCGACCTAACGTCCCCCCAGAGATGGACGTTCCGTGTCTGTCAGTTAGAGGAACACAGTCTCGTCTCACCAAACTGTTTGGTTTGTGTATAACACGTCTTTCGATGGGCAGCCCCGCTGTGCTTTGGCTGAGTGGCGAGGACAGTCGGGACGCAGCTTTGTAGATAAACCGATGGCCAGATTGCCCCGATAATGTGGCAACCCGTTCAGTCTTTAGGATACAAATCAAAAGGCTTACTAGGGAAAGCGGAAGAACCCTCTGCGTTTTTTTCCCCTCCAAACGGGAACAGCTTTCCATTTTAAGGGTCTCTCACATTATCCGGCGCGCGCCGCTCTGGTCAGCCATCAGCTGCTCCCCCCCGTGCCTCCGACGGACCGGACACTGTGCCTAGATCACCCGTACAGCCACGTCCGTGCCAGATGTGGACACCAAACAACCGCTGGAGCCTCGACCCGAGTCGCCGTAGACACCGTGTTTGAAATATCTTCACACGTTTGAACCTGCTGTTCTGTCCAGATCTGGCACCGCTGATACACCTGGCTGCACCCACCAAAGAGCTGGCCATTTTAGCACCCCCCACCCCCCCCCACACCCCATTCACGCTTTGGTTTTCGTATTTCGGTATTAATGAGTATTTGACTTAAATGCACACTCTTGATGTCTGTGAGAGCACGGAGCAGATTTAAAGGATGGAAACAGGTTGCTCTTTTTTAATCTGCCTTAACGGATGTGGCGTCGAACCACTTTGACGGTGGAGGGAAGCATTGTGACACCCAGTCTGTATAGACTTAACAGTTTTTAGTACAACTTTTTATATTTCTGTATTTATTTTATTGAAACTTGTCTAATTTATGCACTTTCTATCGTTTGACTAACATTCCAATAAATTGTTTATTAAGTTAATGTCTGTTTTTTTGTAATCTCAGGCTAACAGTTGCTGAGTTAAACGGCTCCAGCACAATTGTGTGTTTTAATTTTTCCGTCAGCTTGAGAGACTCGCAGCGCTGCCTCGGCGTGACGGATGTCAGGAGCGGCTCTGTCGGGGGCCCAACAAAGAGCCCGTGTCATCCTGCGAGCAGACTACTCTGAGGTCAGGGACCCCCGTTCGCTCGCCGCACAATGCTTCTCTTTCTGGTGCCAGCCGGGCTCTCTCCGTGTTCCAGAACAACCTCCCCGCCAGTCGTGACCTCACTGCCGCTGAAAACGCACAACGGCGAGGCCTCAACTCGGGCTCCGGAGCGGTTCACGGGAAAACTGACGGTTTGCCGGTTTTAAAATCGGATTCCTCTGCAAATCGCAGACTGCATGTAAGAGTTGGAAAACGCTAGTACTGCAATATTATCCCATTGTGGTACAATTTAGATCAAAGAGCTATCAGGAAAAAGATCAGTAGGAACAGTTTTCATCAGAATCACTTCTAAAATGTTGTGCGAAACTGAAGTAAAAAAAAAAAAACTATGGTCATTTACCAATTTGATAACTAGTGTGTTCGGTTGCTACTGAAAAATTGGAGGGGGAAAGTCGGCACAGTCTCACAGCACAACACAAGTGTCTTAGTGGGCATGAAAATAGTTACAAATTGTAATAATCTTCCGGCATAAATTCCCAAAACTGATGTGAAAGACAGGAAAAAGTCGTTATCGAGCGTCGTTCCAGTAAAGGAAACCTGAATTCAACACCAGCTTGACAAAGTGGCTTTGGAATTTTTATTCAGTTTTGCAACAAATGTTCCAAAAAATCTGCTATCAGCAGGTTCTCAAGTTGCAGATTTGACTCGAGTCTCAAACATGAGTACACTACTTACTACTAAATGCTGGATATTGTGAATATTTAGCACAATTTTGTTTCCATCCATCCATACATTCATTGTCGCAACCACTTATTCTCTAATAGGGTCGCGGGGAGACTGGAGCCTATTCCAGTGGTCAATGGGCGAGAGGTGGGGTACACCCTGGACGGTCCGTCAGTCCATCGCAGAGCCACACAAGCACAAACAACCACGCACATTCACTCCTAAGGGTAATTTGGAATATCCAATCAACCTACCATGCTGGTTTTGGAACCACAATTCCATCTAGGCAAATAAAATGATTTCATGATCATTTCGCAATTCATCCTGTAGCCATGCTAGGACGACCATCAACTGCAATGCTAGCCTTGCTAGTAATTGCAAAATAACTAGCTCCAACATTATTGCAAAATGTCAACCATTTCATTCAAGCTAAGTTTGGCTATGATAAATGGAAAACTATAGCAAAAACAAAAAGAAATAGCATGGACATGTAGAACTGGTTTTAAATTCCCATTTTGCTTTCTACAAGATCTCTTCAAATATTACATATTTACATATAATTTACATTTCATCAATAATATTAAGGTTCCCTTTTTTTTAAGCTATTACCCATCAAAAATAGAATACAATACTTTATTGATCCCACAGTGGGAAAATGTACATGTTACAGCAGAAAAAAAGGAAAAAGCACAAGCACAGTGGAGGCATAAGTAACTAAATAAAGGTTATTTACAATACAGCAAAATAAATAAAGGTAAATTACAAGTGGAAGTTATTAAATTATAATGATATGATTGTTAAAATCTTAAAATGAGTTAAACACCAAATTACCAATTGACTACCGAGGCTCAGTAAAATTAGTTTCTAGGGTAAAAAATTATCTAAATGAAATGTTATTTAAAGCAAATGAAGACTAAAACTCCGCCTTGGAGATTTTTGAAGAGCACATTTAAATTTTTGTTTGTCAGGAAATTTCACTTTCAAAAGGCTTTCACATAGGTTTTTGACATATGAAAACATGAGTGAAAAGGAATGAAAAACCCAGCATTTTGAGGTTTAACAAAATACCATATGACAAGCAAGTATTGTATAAAATCGCCTTTCTTTTTCAGTGAACTTAGAAAAACATTGGAATAGTATTAACTAATGATAGTATTAACTAACACTATAATGGACAACATCTGAATGAGCCTCTTGAGCTACGAGCTGAAAAGAGAGCCAGTAAACCCTGGCTTGTGGGGGAATAATGCTGCTATAAATCACACCACATCATTATTGCGGTGCCGCGACGAGACAGCTCATCTCTTATTGTCAGAAAGTTGAGTCAATCCATGCCCCACAAGGCCGCCTCACACAGTATCCGCACTGACACAGTACCACCCACTGACAGCATCCTTTACCCGGGACTCACGGGAGACTCATGGCAGTGTCAAAAAAACAGAATCGCGCCGGCAAAGGCTCGATTATTAACAGCCACGCGGGTAATGCTGATAAATATTTAGTCCAGTCTGCAAGCATTGTGATTAATTATTTTCGCAAGAACGATGGGTGGAGATTTGATCCTCAAGGTAAATCTGTAAATAGTCCTTTGCGAGATAAAGTTCTCCTTTGACATTCTACCTGGAGTATCTGCAGATAATAATTATATAATAATATACCAGATCATTAAGAAACTCGTAATGGTCTTAAGCTATATTTCAGTTGTGTAACTAGGTCACTCCAAAGTAATGGAGCAGTGAGTAAAAAAGCACAGTTTATGCTAAATTTAGCTTTGTTTCCTTTAGATCGTTCCCCATGCACATTGAAAGTTTTGGGTATTTCTAATTATTTGTTGGCCAAATTAAGTCCAACATGAGCAGGGTTTGCACAGGAGACACGACTCAGGTTGTCCACTAGAGGGTAGTCTTGTCTTGTAGTCAGGGAAGGCTTCAGGGTGTTTTAGTGCCCCCCCCCCCACACACTGACATTTCCAGTTTCAAGCCATGCATGTAAATTCTCATATCCTTACACAGTACAGTGATTATAGAGCAAAATAATAATAAAAATTCCATCACTCTGAACATAGCTGGAAATCAGTGGGGCTTGATTCTCTTTTAAATGGTAAAATCTGATAAGTAATAAGTGTGCTGAAGCTGTCTGGAGGGAAGGGGGGGGGGGAAGAAAAACCTTTCCATGCCATGATGCATCACAGACAAATGGGACTTGCGATTCCATCCGGGAAGTGTGAGACATTCAGCAGTCACCAGACAATCAGTGATGGAGAGGGAAAATCCAGTTTGAAAGTTCTCATGTCTGTTCTGACAGCCCCCCCCACCCCCCCCCCCCCCCCCCCCCCCCAACCTCTAGATACCCACATGTTGCACAGCAGGAGTTGTCTGCTGCCTCAACCAACCATGTGAGAGGGTTTTTTTTTTGTGGGCTTGGAGCCGTGGGGGCCGGGGCAGAGACTGTGTTAGGTGATTTAGGGGGTCTACTTCAGCTGACATTTTCACTTGTGATTTAGTCACAGAGGTCTAACCGCAGGGAGAGCTAAAAGCGCTCCACATTCCACCTGCCGTGCTGGCTAACACATCTGATCTGTGATTAATCAGGGCACGGATGCAATTCATTCGCTTCCGAGTTATTTTTGTTTCGGAATCCACCCCACAGGATGCAGTGTTACCTACAGTCATTGTTAAAAAAAAAAAAGAAAAAAGTACACCCTCTTTCAGTTCCAAGGGTTTAAATGTCAGCGCGTTTTAAAGAATTGCCCTATATGGGGCCTTAATTGAGATGAGTTTTTACTCAGTTTGACCTGAAATTAACAGCAAAACATGACGTTTAACATTGTATAGTTAGATATTTATGCAACTGAGAAGTAGAGGTGGAAAAACTGTTTAAATAGGAGTAAAAATAAAAGTATAACCTGCAGTTCATTAGCCTGGAGGTTTACGTTTTTCCTGTTTAGGGGGAAACACTTAAAGTACTTAATTCTGCGTCTCATCTGTGTCTCACGTTGCTGCAGAAGAATTTCGGTCCTGTCCTATTTATAGTGTTGCTTCTGTTCGTTTAAGTTCAAAACTTACTGGTGAACAGCTCTCCTATTTTCTCATCACGCCATTTTATCAGTTAGAGCTCACGATCATTGCAACACCTTGGTTCTTCTTCTTTATTTTTCATCCACTCCGTAGCAGATTTGCTACTGTTTTTCAGACCATTGACAATTATTAACTATTGGCCGCACATTTGACTGCAGACTGCTTTGCTAAACGGAGGAGCGATTAAACCACCCGACAACTTTATGGTGAAACCATACAAGCTCAGTCTTTTTCAAACTGTACTGACATGAACAGTAACTTTGATAGGCCGAGTGGGGCCTGAGACTGTTGGGATTTCGACCCTGAGTCGAGCCCTGCTCAGGCTTTTCACCTTTTTCAGCTTTTGAATATTCATTCTCACTATGAAATGAATGTCATTTGTTGGCAACAAACCCCTGAATTTGTTGAAAACACCCTCCTTAATGCTCCTTAACACCAACAAACAGGCAGACAACGCATTCCCCTGCATGCACGTCCACATCTGTGCCTGGGCTATTCTCTCTTTCACACCACCAACCACCACATTTGTTTAATATTAAATAAGAGAGGATGTTTTTATATACCCTTCTTTGGCTTTTTTGGCTTTAATGTTGTGAAATCGACAATGACACTGCGTGATACGTCGTATTCTTGTCATCTTAATAATGTCGGGCTGTGTTTTGCCAAGTAATATAACTGTTCGGGAGCAGATTTTTTTTTTTTTTTTTTGTTACAACTTGTCAAAATGTAATAATGAGTGAAGTTACATTGTTCCCAGGTTGTGATGCTGGTGGTGGACCGCTTTGGGAAACGCGACAGATGCTAGCCGGGTATAAATGGAAACATCATTTTTTGGCTTTAATGTTGAGAGCACTGCGTGATATGTCGTGTTCTTGTCATCTCGTTAATGTTGGGCTGTGTTTTGAGAAGGAATACAACTGTTCAGGAGCAGATTTATTTATTTATTTATTTATTTTTGTTACAACTTGTAAAAATGTAATAATGAGTGAAGTTACATTGTCTCCAGGTTGTGATGCTGGTGGTGGACCGCTTTGGGAAACGCGACAGATGCTCTGA